GACAACAATCTCCATTTATCGTAAGGGTCATGTTGATACTTTGTTGTGAAAACTTTGTTGTGGATATCATGGAAAACAATGATATAGTAATGTGTTTCGATACATTTGCAAGCAGATGTAAAATACATTAATAACTAGTATTGATATTTCAACAATCCTCAAATGTATATGAATACAGAGAAGCAAATATGGAATAATTAACGAAAATATACACACAATATAATCACACCAAAATATACATACACAAGAATGTTCAAATAATGTACCGACAAACGAAATTAATCCGATGAAAAAGGGTTATTTCTAACGAAGTCCAAAACATTAGAGGCCTTCAACAAATTTTTCAAATACTCTCGTATGTTTCCGCCTTTTTCTGAGGACATACATAAATAATTTCAATTATCAAACTAATGAGGTGCAATTTTACTAACAATAAACTAAATTCGCATAAGCATGAATAAATTTGTGTCATACCTAGATCATTGTCGTTCGAATGGGAAGCAGCGTCAAAGGTATGTGGACATATGTAATTGTATTTCTATATAAACACATAAGTTGTTAAAATAATCAATGTCTGAACACCTGTTCAACTGGAAAAACATATTGCATAAATGCAACTTACCGGATTATAAATCATTTTTTCCGCTGAATCATCGACCAAAAGTGTATTTAGCTCGTTAAAATCTGGACACGCGTTCCAAACATCATTGAGATCTTTACAGTAGGTAACAGTATCGTATGTTTTGCATTTTGCTTGATCCTGTTCACAAAAAGTCGAACATAAATATGTAGGAATCATAGACAACGAAAAGTCAGCAAACTGTAATGACATTCATCTTACCCACACGAATAGAAAATGCTCAGAAAATAAAGGTAGTTTCTCAAGTACACGGTCGACGTTATGCCTGAGATTGTAATCAAGTTTGAATGTTAACATTCAAATATATATTAACGATTTTGACTACAGTAATTCAATTGCTCCAAACATGTTCTAACCTCAGCTTTGAAGACGAAAGGGTAACAATAAAATTGTCGACACAAAATTGCATAAATTCAAATAATCCTGTTCTGAGGACAACATCTACAACATGAAGAAAATGAGATTAAAGTTCTACGCTTATATGTTAAAATAATGGATACAAAAGAATAGAATTAAAACCTGCAGGCCGTCTTGGGATGTAGGCAATGACACCATTGAGATCAAAAATTAAAAGTTTTCTTGAAGGCGGCGTTGCAGACACGATATACTTGTTTGGATCATCATCATCATCATCATCATCGTCGTCATCTTCATCGTCATCTTCATCGTCAGCTTCATCTTCATTGACCGCTTGGTTGTCCGCATCTGTTAAAAGAAAATAAAATACAGTTCAGAACGTGTAAATGTTTAGAAACATAAATAATGAATTACCTAACTCGTTTGATGTCGTTGACGTAATTCGTCACGCAACATGGAGACTTCATGTTGCAATGATGAAATATCGGATCGCATTCCACTCACAAGGGAATCAATATACTCCCGAAAATTGACCATGTATTCCATCACGGTATTAATTGTGACATCCTCAGCAACTGGAGCTTCTTCTATCATTGCGTCCCACTTGGTTGCTCTTCTTCATGGATAACGGGGTCCATTTCCTCCCTCTCTTGATCTAATCTGACCTCCTTGACACGCTTCCAACCGAGTTTTTCAACAAAATCATATCCCGCTTTTTTAATAAATACCATGTCAATCTTGCGGGTTAATCGAACAGGGGCGTCATGCGAAAAATCAACTTCTTTCTTCTTCAACAGATGGGTGATGACACATCCATATGGTAGTGTAGTTGAAATTGTTGCTCCCTTTGTGACCATATATACAATTGTATTAAATATGAGTTTTGCAATGTTTGGAGCCGTTTTGGATTTGGATTTATACTTTGCTATCCATCAATAATCGATTTCTCGAAGCGTTGAATGTTTTCCCCCACTAGGTCGGATATACCATGTGAGCATTTTGTGAAATACTCTCGACTCTACATCGAGGTGAATTGGCCTATTTCTAGCAACCCATTTAATTGTAGACCAATCAACACCATTTTCATCTGAATCCCCTTTACTCGCTACACCTAAACCCTCCGCAATAGTTTCCGGAGATATATATATATCCTTCCCCATGACATGTGTATTAATTCCTATTATATTAGTCTTATTAGGCTCGTGCTGTAAGGAAGCATTGTTGTAGAAGACTCTAACTAGGTTGGGATAATATCTTGGTTCTACACCAAGGAATTCAAGCCAACCCCAAGATGTAAATGTAGATTTAAAACTAAATGCATATTTATCATCAAACAAGAAACTCAGGTCAATGACACGTTCGGGACGAATCTTCCTTACTTTAAAAATCGTTTGCCATATTTGTTTCTCCATATCGGATCTAAAGTTCAGAGTTTTGAAGGACCTGATTTCCTCAGAAGAATCGTTTGTTTCAGAAGGAGGTTGTGGTTGAGAAGAACTGGGTTGAGAAGAGCTTTGAGAAAGACCGCGCTTCTGACGCTGACGTTTTGGAGCCATTTTGGTTGGATGCTATTACAATGGAACACAAACACATTCAGGAAAAAAACTCCAATATAGAAATCAATCAAACCTATAAAATATCGATAAATTTACCTGAATATCTGATCGTCACTGTTATGATAACGCTAGTATTCTTCGGAGTGGAAGAGTTATCTTCTGCCTACTTGCCTTTATGTTTAGGGTTTTTCGATTTTAGAGTACTATATATAATGAACGGTGGAAAAACACTTGATATTTAAATTAGTATCGACAAAACATTAAACAGTGTCGATACATTATTTAGACCTATTCTCTCATAAAACCGGTATACTTGTACCGGTTAGATTGAAAAATTACCTAATACATTATACTTATGGGTTTAGATGTTTATGGGATCGACACTTTTTATATATGGATCGACACTTTATGGTTGCACCCTGTTTTCCATTCAATCTGGACCAAAAATATCGACACAAACTACAAAAGTGTCGACACATTATTTAGACCTATTCTCTCATAAAACCGGTATACTTGTATCGGTTAGATTGAAAAATTACCTATTACATTATACTTATGGGTTTCGATGTTTATGGGATCGACACTTTTTATATATGGATCGACACTTTATTGTTGCACCCTATTTGCCATTCATTCTGGACCAAAAATATCGACACAAACTAAAAAAGTGTCGAAACATTATTTAGACCTATTCTCTCATAAAACCGGTATACTTGTACCGGTTAGATTGAAAAATTACCTATTACATTATACTTATGGGTTTCGATGTTTATCGGATCGACACTTATTATATATGGATCGACACTTTATTGTTGCACCCTGTTTGCCATTCATTCTGGACCAAAAATATCGACACAAACTACAAAAGTGTCGATACATTATTTAGACCTATTCTCTCATAAAACCGGTATACTTATACCGGTTAGATTGAAAAATTACCTATTACATTATACTTATGGGTTTCGATGTTTATCGGATCGACACTTTTTATATATGGATCGACACTTTATTGTTGCACCCTGTTTGCCATTCATTCTGGACCAAAAATATCGACACAAACTACAAAAGTGTCGATACATTATTTAGACCTATTCTCTCATAAAACCGGTATACTTGTACCGATTAGATTGAAAAATTACCTATTACATTATACTTTTGGGTTTCGATGTTTATGGGATGGACACTCTTTATATATGGATCGACACTTTATGGTTGCACCCTGTTTGCCATTCATTCTGGACCAAAAATATCGACACAAACTACAAAAGTGTCGATACATTATTTAGACTTATTCTCTCATAAAACCGGTATACTTGTACCGATTAGATTGAAAAATTACATATTACATTATACTTTTGGGTTTCGATGTTTATGGGATCGACACTTTATGATTGCACCCTGTTTGTCATATTGTAAATTTGTCTTTTACTTTAAAGTAAATTTTGTAGTTATTGTTCATACCCTCAATATATATGGAATGACCATTCACTCTCGCACATGATGACAATTATGATGACATTTGGTATAATACAGACAACAATCTCCATTTATCGTAAGTATCAACATGACCCTTAATGTGTATAAGAAACATACCCGTAGGTGTATGAGACCCTTAATGATAAAATTCAATTCGAAGTTTGCAGCAATTCATCAAGGATGGGCCTACGGGTCTCAAAGGTACTGTTTTGTATCATTGCTCTCATTGCATGTCTTGTTTTCCAGCCATGTTTATTTTAAGTGACTTTGGTTCCAATGGGACCCATATTTGCAGGTGCCTACGCGATTTATATTACTCAACTTTTCATTTTTACTAAGCACTCACAGTCAATAATTATTGGAATACAGTTCTCTAAATATATATGTAAAACAATCTCATTTTTTAACATGTACTAATAATATAGGACACATTATGTTATGCATTCCAGCTATGATTTTTTTTCAGTTTGCTACAATTACTTACGATCAACCATAGATGTTTCCCATGGAACAGGAATCACTAGGTTTTGTGGATATCAATCTTTCAGATGTTATTACCAACAAAAGAATAAACGAGAGATACCATCTCATAGACTCCAAAAATGGACGGATTCAGATTGAGTTGCATTGGGGAACCAAAGAGCAAAAACAATAATTTGCATCAACTAAACAAAACTCTACAGAATGGATGGATAACAAAGATGATTGTTTATTTTTACTTTGATCGTGTCATTCTAATTCCGAAGATAGTGTCAAATACCACCTACGGGTATATATCCGACCTAAATATATTAATGCTTCAATGCATCAAACAAATATTTATATAAAAAAAACACCCATTTCCTGAAATTGCTTGAAATTGTTGGTGTTAATAATACTAGTTGCCCAAACAATAACTGAAGAAAAGGGTGAGCAATTGGTACTGGATCTAATTTGTTTTGATTTAATAGTTCATGAAGGGAATGGTACAATGGAGCAAAATATGAATCGATTACATTAGAAAGAAATCAGCAAAGTCAAAACACAAAAAAGAAACTGGAGCTTCATGTCTCATCCCATTTGTTCTTAGGTATCTCTCCTGAGTCGGAGATTACAACTTTCTAGGTTTTCCACCGTATGTCCCGGCTCCCCCTTCAATCATAGACACAATGTCCATGCCCTGAATAACCTTACCGAAAACAACGTGCTCCCATCCAACCTGAAAAGATCATACCACGATGAGAAATTAGCCAAAAGAGTGAAGGAATTTGGGGTGCTCTATCTCCCACTATTACTGGGGTTAACAATAACACTTTTACCAATCTTTCGTGGTCAATGCATTCCCATTAATTGTCCAGATAATGGGAATAGCTAATGAACACATTTAAATTAGTGTACTGATACGAAGCTTTGTTCAATGATTATAAGCCTTCGCATTAGGATTCTACACAAAAAAAGATATAGCTTACCAACTGGCTTTGACAGTGGTGATAAAAAATTGAGAGCCATTGGAATCAGGTCCTGTATTAGCCATGAAAACAACACCTGCAAAAAGATCAAGAGATGAGCAACTGAATATTTGAAGAAAATTTTACCATTGAAGAAAGAACCTTGAAAATCAAGACAACATCGAAGCTTTTAGGTGCCATCGACAGTTAAACTAATACACATAAGAGTACCTGCATGTGAATGCTTTATCTTAAAGCTCTCGTCACGAAAGGTGCCACCATATATAGGCTCACTTCCCCTTCCATCACCATGAATTATATCACCGCCTTGAATCACGAATCCAGATATTATTCGATGGAATGGTGTTCCCTTATAATTAAGTGCTTTCCCCTTAGCACCCTTGCCTTTCTCTACTGCAGTTTTCAAGCAAGAATTTAAGTATATTTACCATGTAAAATTTAAACTGTAAGCATAAATATAAAATCCAAATTCAACAATGGATGAAACATGTTATGGTACATTTAAGAAAATGGAAACAATTGGAGAGGGAAAAATTAATACACCCGAATTAGCTTAAAGGTAAGCTAATAACACAAAATGACAACGACATATGGCCACGCTGATAGTAGCGTGTACACTGCTAATATACCAATGGTTTCAAGAAATTACGTTTTTTAGGCAACTAAAACTAGTGGCCAGAAGATTGAAACATACCAACAGTTTTGGGTACAACTTCACTGTACAATCCAATAACGATCCTACCTATAGAATACAAAGTACATAAATATAAACTGAAAAGAGACAAAGTAAGATTTCTTCTCATCGCTTCTTAAGTAGGAAAGTAAAGGAGTAGTACCTACATGCTGGCCATCAATATCGACATCCAAGTATACTCTGTGGGTGATTTCATGCTCCTCTTCTACAACCTTCTCTTCTTCCTAACCGACAATTTAATATGAATCAATTAATACAAATTATTGTATGAGTAATCTACTGAGATTGGAAGAGCGAAGCAAATATTACATAAACATCAAAGGAAATTGCAGCCTCAAGCCTGTTTTAAAATAACACATTCAGAAAAGCAACAAAAGCCTTTCACTTGCAAAGCTCAAATTTGGAAACAAACAAATGCTCAGATTGTAACAGCATACTTTCTAAACTTTTTTTTTGGATAAGTCAAGTAATTCATTTATCCAAGAGATTAGCAACTGCTACAACAAACAACCAAGACAGGGAAACATACAATTAAGAATCCCCCAATCAATGCATAACCTCCTATTTACCATATCATTCTTATTTATACAAGCTCTGTACAATTTAAAACGAACAATCCCCTTTACCCCATTCACAATCGCATCAACCGAGAGAGAAGCCCCCCTAAACAACCTGCAATTTCCTTCTTCCCAAATGCCATACAAAAAACCAGTCCATGCAATCTTAGGAATAAGGACAATGAGAGACTTACCAGATTCGATTCAACCCATAAAAGGTCACCCTCCCAGCCTGCATCAACAGTTCTGTCCTGCAGACCACATCTCAGCAAGATCCCTTCCCAAACCCCCCTGAATAAGGACAAGTAGAGAAAAGATGATCCCTCATTTCCTTCTTAATGCCACATAGGCCACACAACCCATCATTAGGAATACCAAACCTCCCCAGCTGACCCTTAGTCGGCAGCCTATCTAAGATCACCATCCAAGCAATAGAAAGCTTAGGAACATGAAAAGAAAACCAGATTAGCCTATGCCATCTCACCTTCTCCCTCCTACTCCTCACCTTATCCCAAATCCACCTACTATTAACCAACTGCCAATTCAAGCTACCAGCAAACAAAATCTCAGCTTCACCCCTCAACTTCAACATTTTCTTCATAATCCAACTGAAGTGAGGCTTACAGGCAGCAGTCCTTAAATCCTCACCCTTAAGCACGTACTTTCTAAATTTGGAAACAAGAAAATGCTCACATTTTAATAGTATACTTCAAAAGAAATGAGCTTTAAACTAGGCCTACGTTGCTCCGACTTGGTCAATTAGATGTTAGTAATAGTATCAGATATAGACACGTGTCTAACACAAATATGTTCAGTTTATCCAAGACTAAATTTTTTTTGATAGGATGTTTATCCAAGACTAAATATTTTGTCAAAAATTCGAAGCAACATATAACTATTCAATATGAGATAAACCACGTCCAAAAGGGGGGGGGGTAATTGAATTTGAAATAAAGCATACCCAAATCAAGAAATTGCATACAGATCAAAAGAATCAAAACGTAACGACACCACCAAATTCAAAAAAGCAAAATAGAAAACCAAATATGTTCTGCAGATCAAAACGCAAGAAACAAGTAAAAAAATCCAAATTCAGATCCAAAGGCTACATATTTCCACATATCCTACAGATGGCATTTAGAATGAAGAGAAAAGAGTTAAAGAAACGCACCCGTTTAGCTCCCGAGAAAGCGAAAATGAAGAAAATCGAGACGGCAGTCAAGAGAGGGATGCACCGAGGCTGTAACAAAATCAAGATCTCCCGACGCATTTTTTCCCGAACGTTAACTTCTTGCCTCTACTAATTATTAACAAGAAATCTTTACTTGATTTTCCATGAGCATTACAAAGACTGGTAGAAAGAGGTCTTACATTTTTTTCTCCAACACCATCACTCACGAACTCGGCCGCCAATGAAGACTGAATGAGTTGGGCCTCGAGTTTTTTTTTTATATATAAATTAAAGCTTTTGATTGTCAGACTGCTGAAGAGATTTTAGACGGTGTAAAGTATAAATATAAAAGAAAGCACGTGGAGCACGTGTAAAATGGACAACAAGAAGCAAAATGATTATTGAAGTTGTTATAAAAATATTAAATTTTTATAAAATATGTTCTTTATATAAAATATTTTTTCATCGAATAAACGTGAATTTAATAAAATTTCAAAAGCTTCCTAGATTTGCATCTGTAAACCTTAAATAATGAAATATGTTATAACCAAATAACCTTAGTCTTTAAACCCTAAATCTTAAGCTATAAATCATTAACCCTAAATCTTAAGCTAAAAATCATTAACCCTAAATCATGAACCTTAACTCCTAAATCATAAACCTTAAACCTTAAACTTTAAATCCTAAACCATGAACTTTAAACCCTAAACCTTAAGCCTTAAACCATACATTATAAGCCTTGCATCAAAACCTTAAACCTTAAACCATGAATCTTGAACACCTAAACCATGAAGCATAAACACCAAACCCTAAATAATAAATCCAAAGCTTAAACCCTAAACACTAAATACTAAACCTTAAATATCAAACCATAAACCCTAAGCCTTAATCTTTGAACCTTAAACCCTAAAACTTGAACCCTTAACCTTTAAGCTTGAACCTTGAACCTTAGACCCTAAACTTCAAAACTAAAACCTTAAACCTCAAATCTTAAACCTAAATCTTAGACCTCAAACCCTAAACCCTAAACTCTAAACATGAAATTACAAAATAAAAGTTAAATAAATTAAACAACATGTGTGGATCAAATTGAAACAATTGTAAAATGTAAAGATGGAATTAATATCAAATTGGATTAAATTGCATTAATTTTAAAAGTTAGTGAACAAAAGTTTATAGAGTTTAGAGATTATGATATAATTTATAGGGTTTGAAATGAAATTTATTGTAATGCACCAAAATTTCATCTAGTGTCAAAATGAAAATTTTGAAAGTTTAATAGACAAAGTATAAACTTGGGAAAAGTTTAGGTATCAAAGTGTCATACTTTTCCCAAGTTTTGTCTTTGGCCACTAAACTTTTTCAAGTTTATATTTTGATCACTAAACTTTCAAAATTTTCATTTTGGTCACTAGATGAAATTTTGGGTATTACAATAAACTTCATTTCAAACCATAGAAATTATATTATAATCTCTGAACTCTATGAACTTTTGTTCACCAACTTTTAAAATTAATGCAATTTAGTCCAATTTGATATTAATTCCATCTTTACATTTTACAATTGTTTCAATTAGATCCATTGATGTTGTTTAATTTATTTAAATTTCAATTTGTAATTTCATGTTTGTTCAATTAGTCCTTAAAATTATATTTATATCAAAATTAACCCATAATTATTTTTAGTTTTTGTAATTTACTCCAAATCATATACAATTACAAATTACATTTCGACATTCATGAAGGGCGAAAAATAATTAACCAAAAAATGACTCGACCTGAAGTCAATCTGTATTTGATAAGATCCGGCCTGAATTTTATCTGTAAATGATGTGACCTGATCTGAACGAGATCTGATTAAAGTACATCCAAATATAAATTAACTTGATATTTAACTGCTTCGGACCTAAACCGTTTTGACATGAACTGACATCGATCCGAACTAAAATTAACCCAACATGAACCCAAACTGAATTTGATGTCAAATCAACCTGAAAATGACCCAAACTGATTTGATATGGACTCAATTTGATCCGAGTCGAACCATTAAATTGATCTGATTCAACCTGCATTCGATTTGACCTGACCTGACAGTATCCGATTGAAACCTAAACGATTACCTGATTTTACAACCCTAACCATAGGTATATATATCTTGACACATACAACTATGTGATCCTCGTGATAGAGATATTTACAAGGAAGATGCCTACTGATGAAATGTATATAGATGCACTGGATCTCCACAATTTCCTTAAGAGGGTATTTCCTGAAAGAATATATGAAGTTATAGATCCATTGTTTATTGCAGGAGGAAGAGGCGAAGAAGAAGAAATTTGACATGCAGGCATATGCATAGAAATCTATTCATAATTTAATGATGTATTTAAGTTGATCAATTTTTATGCAATTAAAGTGCAAATAATGACTGAGAGCAACCATATTTAATTAGTAATGCAGACAAATAGTGATGTCCTCGATACAAAATTTTGCATGATTTCAACACCAAAGTTGACGTCCAAGTTACGACGTAGGCATATTTTTGATCAAATAGAATTCTTCTGTTCTTGATTAATGATACGATTAGTATCAAGGAAAATTTCTCTTATCTAATCATCAAGATTCAATTTTTTTTAATAAAGTATTATAATGTTCATAGATGTGTATGTAAATAAAAATAAAAGACATAATGGTAAAAAAAAGCCTAACGTTTGTCACCTTTTCAAATGTGTCCTTTAAGTTTAATTTTTGCAAGTTAAATTATAAGAATTTATTTTTTAAAATATTTTTTATTATCAATTATAATTAACTAACTATCATTTTTATTGATGTCGCATGACAATGTCAAGGAGATAATTCAAAAACAAGCGAACGTTTGGAAAAATATATAATAACAAAAAAATCTCAATATTTGTTTATTTCAATTACACTTTTGATGTTGTCATAGCACATTACTATGACATGTAATTAAAACAACCACGTTTATGTTGTTTAAAACCGGCCCTGAGCGATTTGAAGAGGGGAAATCAGCAACTAACTGATAAAGCCATTTGTTTATATATATCATCATGCGTATGAGGCAGCTGGGCGGTCTGAGCATGTCTCCTCAAAAGAAAATCTCTGTTGGTTCATTGCTGGGGACATTCAGAAAAATGTCGAAGAAGTCATCAACTTATCGATTGATTATACGAATGACGAAATCGCCCTTGCTATCTACCACTTGCATTGCTGCTATACTCCTTTTTGTTTATGCAGACAGTCTAATGTCTAATCTTCCCATTAAGGCTGGTGAGGCTCTTCCATCACCTCAGACCATGACGGCTCAACTTGTCGAAGGAGGAGGACATGTTGATGCCAGTTTAAACACCCTGCCAGGGTCTGTAGCTACCACCCCGGAAAGAAAGATTGAAGAAGAAACTGAGAATGAAGATCCCCTAATTCCTCCCTTCAAGGCATCTGTAGATGAAAGGATGGAATGGTTCAGGAGAAAACTACCCGAACTCGAAATTCTCAAATCAAATGAGTTGAGTGAGAAATTCCATGGTCGAGTTTTGGAATTGTACAACAACAATTGTTCAGCTCAGTTCTTCATGGTGTGGCTTTCGACAGCGCAGTCCTTCGGACCGAGAGAGTTCTTGGCCGTGGATAGTCTGTTCAGCACCTCGCCAGACGGATGCTTGCTGATTTTGTCGAGCTCCTTGGACACCCCAAAAGGGTACAGGGTCCTGAAACAACTTCTTGATCGGGGATTTAACGTGCTCGCAGTCACACCCGACGTGCCCTTTCTAGTCAAGAATACCCCAGCTGAAGCGTGGCTTGATGAGTTGAAGAGTGGGAACATGGACCCTGGTTCAGTTCCTTTATTCAACCATCTATCTGATCTCATCAGGCTTGCAGTTTTGTACAAGTATGGGGGAGTTTACTTGGACACAGATTTCATATTCCTGAAAGATTTATCAGGGTTGAGGAATGCCATCGGCGCACAAAGTATCAACCAAGTAACCAAAAAATGGGCCAGATTAAATGGAGCAGTAATGATCTTTGACATCCACCATCCTGTTTTACTGGAATTCTTGAAGGAATATGCCACCACTTTTAACGGAAACAGGTGGGGACACAACGGACCATATTTGGTTTCTAGGGTGATGGAGAGAATAAGAGACAACCCTGAATACAGTAACATTACAGTTTTCCCACCAAAGGCCTTTTATCCGGTGGATTGGATTAAGATAGCCAAGCTGTTTAAGAAGCCAGAAACGGAGGCAAACTCAAAATGGACAGATGACACGCTTGCTGATATAAGCAGTGAGAGCTATGTAGTTCACTTGTGGAACAAGAGAAGCAGAGAATTGAAGATAGAGGAGGGAAGTGTGATGGCTAGATTGATTGCAGAGCACTGTAACATTTGCGACAACATTTACAAACCTTGAAGCTCAACCTTCTCTATCTGAAGCCATTTTCCTCACCGAATCAACAAAAAGCAAAATCCCTCAATTTTTTACACCATGTTGCTTAAATAAGTTATGATTCATTCAAGTTTATTCTTTTCTTCAGAAAGGTGTGCCCCCCTCATATATTGTAAAACCGAATACGATTCCTTCAAAAACGTTGTAAAACATGAAATTCATTCTCTTCTGGTATTGTCTTGCCTCTAAAATGCAGATGATATTTGCTTAATTTAACAACCACCCTAGCTAGCAATCAAAATTCAGAAAGCTATAATAGTAGCTCCGAAAACCAAATTGGCTGGATTCCATTATCACCGTCGAATGTGTTCTCGACAAACTATGTAGACCATACGTGGGTAGAAAGTACTGTTTGAATAACCCGTTAAGCATACACATTGAGATGCCCTTGTACCAAGATATCAGGTACAGGTAGAAGGCGGTGCAACATGGGAAAAGCAGCCGATGAACAAAATTTATTTAACGATATTTGCATCAACCGAAATAAATGCGATATTCTTACGATTAAGATTAATTTATGCTTCTTGATTAATTAAAAGTCTCCATTCTGAATTACTTTTTATGTGTGGACAATTGAGCATCCATCCTGATTATCAGAATAGATGTGTGTAATTTCACGAAAGGAAATTCTGAAAATTTTAATGCGAAAAATATGACGATATTAATGTGATAACATTATTTCCTTGTTAAATCAGCATCTGAATAAATGTTCTACAATCCACATTGATGATTGATGAGAAATTCCATTCCACAATATTCTAGACCAGCTAAGGGTGTTTCATGCTCTATCCGTAATTCCATTTTAATAATGCCCTCGGGTTAACTCAAAAATTGCTTTGTACCATATCGGATTAACTCCTTAAATCTATTTTAATGATTCAATAATTAATATTTTTATTAAATTTGTTAAGCAACCTTAGTGGTTAAAGAGAGTGAAGTTCTCTCTAGAGATCTTGAATTCGAATAGTTACATCTATAATTCTTACTTCCAAAATCAATATGCGATATCCAGAAAAGAAGCCATATTTTTAAGGTGCGTGGATGAGGGAGTGATCGGTCACGTGTCATATCACCACAGCAATCAGTTAATTTTCCTTTTCAACCAATGCCAGAACACAAAAGACAGCTTACGGTGTGTCAAAGTCAATCTTGTCTCCAAGTCAAGCCACAGCCTACAAATGTACAAATACTCCATCCTCTCCTACTTCCAAAGCTATATATGCCAATGATTCTAGAGTTCTTTTCTTCATCACAAGAAAAATGGAAGGACAAAACGAAGATGTGAGGTTGGGAGCAAATAAGAATAGGCAGAGGCAGCCTATAGGAACTGCTGCTCAAAGCCAAGATGATAAGGATTACATGGCAGCTTCACTTTTTTAGCCTGGCGAGTTATCCTCATGGTCCTTTCACAGGGCCTGCATAGCAGAATTCATGGCCACTTTCTTGTTTCTATAGTCTATACATCACACTATTAACTGCAATGGGTGTTGTCAAATCTTCAAGCAAGTGTTCGACTGTAGGCATACAGGGCATTGCTTGGGCTTTTGGTGGCATGATCTTTGCTCTTGTCTGCTGCACTGCTGGCATTTCAGGTACAATAATACACATTACTAAATGGAGTTACATTAATCTAGGAAATAACATTTTTTTATATTTGGGGATGATGATGCATGCAGGGGGCCACATCAACCCAGCAGTGACTTTCAGCTTGCTGTTAGCCAAGAAGTTGTCGCTGACTAGAGCAGACTTTTACATGATAATGCAATGTCTTGGAGTGGTAAGTGGAGCTGCTGTCGTCAAGAGCTTCCAAAAGACCCAATATGAAAGGTTGGGGGTGGTGCAACACCGTTAGCTCTAGCTATAGCACCACTAGAGGACTTAGGGCTGAGATTGTCGGTACCTTTGTTCTTGTTTATACCGTCTTCTCTGCCACTGATGCTAAGCGTAATGCACGAGATTCCCACGTTCCTGTAAGCACGATTATAGTTTCTTAGCTTTCCTTTGCCATTTCATAATTCTTGTTTCTAATATTTGGATGAATATTAGATAATGGCACCGTTGCCTATCGGATTTGCAGTGTTCCTGGTACACTTGGCAACGAATCCCATTACAGAAACAAGCATTAATCCTGCTAGAAGACTTGTCACAGCTCTTATATACAACAAGGACTGTTATGATTTAGGATAGAATGATAGAAGAATTTTTTAGGGATTTAAGAAAATAGAGAGAATATGTTACAGAAAACGTGCATTTTCATTTCATAAGTTAATCCTCAAAGATTCTGGGTACAATTATATATCTACAGTACCTCCAACTGGCAATTCGGCAATCTAACAAAATAACTGTCTAAAATGATGACTCACTCATCCAACCTTCTCACTTCTGATTTAGATTCATACATACCAACCCTTTAACTCATAAGCCTATTGATATATTAATTGGGTCTAAGTATTAAAGCCCAGTTACTCTATTGACCCATACCCAATCCCATGTGACCCATCTCCTGTATTATTTCAGCCTTTCCCTCTTCAGATAACCCTTCAATACGTAATCCCCCTTCGATCCCTAACTCCTTTCTCTCCTCTCCCCCTTTCTACTGCTGATTCCCCAATTTCCTTCTTCAATTTTTCCCCAAATTAAGACCTTCAAACCCTAACTCTCCTTCCATCGTGACAATACCCCCTCCATCAGGCAATCCTTGTCCCCAAGGATCGAAATCGGGAAACTGGTTCTGCAACACCGAAGCATCTTCCCACATTGCATCATTTGGTCCCATGTTCGTCCACTGAATCAACAGTTGAGGAATATTCTGCTTTTGTCGTTTCACCACGCATCTGTTCAACACGGTTGCTGGGTAAATTTTCAACTGGCCATCTGAAGACGTCTCAGGAGGATTCAGCGAGATAAGTCCCTGTTCTCTGATTCTCTTCTTCAATAAGTTAACATGAAACACTGGATGTAATTTAAAATCCTGTGGCAATTCCAGTTGATACACAACCTGGCCAATTTTTTTTCTGTATTTTGTAGGGACCGTAATATCGAGCAGCAAGCTTTAGGTTTTTCCTTAAAGCGAGTGATGTCTGTCTATAAGGCTGAAGTTTCAGGTAAACTTCCTCTCTAACCTGAAAATCTCTTTCTGTACGATGTCTATCTACAATCTTACTGGCTTTAAGTAGTTGTTCACGTAGTAAAGCATTAAATTGCTCTCTATCTTGCATCATAGTTTGTACTGCATCCACTCTAGAGTCCCCTGACCAACTCAGAATAGGTGCCTTATAACCATATAAGGCTTCAAATGGGGTCATTTGTATAGTAGAGTGGTAATTAGTGTTATACCACCATTCTGCTTGGGCTAACCACTTTGACCAAGATGTAGGTTTTAAAAAACACATACATATGAGTTACTGTTCTAAACACTGGTTGAGTCTCTCAGTTTGCCCATCTGTCTCTGGATGATAAGCAGTACTGAAAAGTGTAGTTGTCCCCAATTGTTTAAGTAGCTCTTGCCAGAATAGACTAGTAAAAGACTTGTCCCGATCAGAAATAGCTATCTTAGGAGGACCATGAAGCTTATAAACTTGATCCAAATATAGCATAGCAACTTGTACCACTGTGTAAGGATGTGACAGTGGCATAAAATGAGCATACTTAGTAAATTTGTCAATCACTACCAAAATACAATTGTGCTTTGTTGAAGGTGGCAATCCTTCAATAAAGTCCATTGTTATAACTTCTCATGCATTGTTTGGAATTGAAATAGGTTGTAGTAAACTTGGCTTGGAAATGTGTTCAATTTTAGTTCTTTGACAAACCTCACATTGTTGTAGATATTCCTTAATCATAAGCTTCATCTTTGGCCAATAAAAATAAGCTTTAATCCTCTTATAAGTAGCTTGAATACCTGAATGACCCCCTTGTGGTGAATCATGTGAAGCCACCATAATTTTCTGTCTGAGATCTCCTGTGCTGCCCACATAAATTCTGTCTTTGAAGTATATGACTCCTTTAATTCTCTTCCAATTCTCAATCTTGTCAGGCTGAATAAGTAAAATAGGAATCTTCTCTTGAGCTAGTAGATCCCCTTCATAACTCTGTTCAATATCCTGTCTCCAAGTAAGAATTACAACAGTAACCCCCATTTGCAAAAATTCACCAGAATCCAGTAGCTGTCTAGAAAGTGTATCTGCCACCTTATTTGTTTTGCCTTTCTTGTATTGAATTGTATAATCCAATCCAAGTAACTTAGTCAGACCTTTCTTTTGGATGGTAGTAGTCAGCTTTTGTTCTAATAAGTGTTTTAGAGGCTCATGATCTGTTTTAATAACAAATGAGCCACTTTCCAAATAATGCCTACAATGGGTACTGCAATTAGGATGGCCAAGTATTCATTTTCATAGATAGAAAGGTATGTATGCTTTGGTCCCAAAGCCTTACTTAAATAAGCTATAGGCCTTCCTGCTTGAGATAAAATAGCCCCAATACCTCTGGAACTAGCATCAGTTTCCAAAAAACATTTCTTCTCAAAATTTGGTAAAGAAAAAACTGGAGCTTCACACATAACCCTTTTTAGATTCTCAAAAGCTAATTTAGCCTCTGGAGACCAATGAAATCCTTTATTCTTCAACATATTAGTCAGGGGTTTACTCAATTCTCCATACCCTTTGATAAATTTTCTATAATACCCTGTCAAACCCAAAAATCCTCTCAAAGCTTTTAGATTTTTAGGTAAAGGCCACTGTTGTATAGCCTTTATTTTTTCAGGGTCAGTTGCTACTCCCTTAGCTGAAATTAAATGTCCCAAATACTCTACTTGCTGTTGGCCAAAAAAGCATTTACTCTTTTTGGCATACAAACTATTCTTCAGCAGAATTTCCAACACCACTCTTAAATGATTTTTATGCTCTATCATATTGGAACTGTAAATCAGAATATCATCAAAAAACACAAGAACAAACCTCCTCAAATATGCTCCAAACAAGTCATTCATCAAAGCTTGAAAAGT